AAATATAAATTACTTCGTTATTGTACATAAATTAAATTATAAAAAAATTGAATTAAAAAATTACAAAAAAAATGAGGAATTTCAAATAGTTAATTTGATACTAATATCGATACATTTTTGTCAAATTTTTATAATATTTTCAAACATATATTTTATTTAAAAATAAAAACATCATCGTTTTCTCAAAATCACATAAAGCCATATTATAACATCGATTGAGATAAAAAAATAAAATAAAATATTAAAATCACGATGTATCTCGCAGCATTGCGCGAGTACGCTTCTAGTACAAAAAAAATGTAAAAATATTTACAAGAAATAAAAGATAAAACAAAATTAAAAAAAAAAACATTTTATAGTAATTAATTTATAAGTTTTTCTTTATCAATTTCAACATATATGTTTTATTTATAGATTTATTAAAAGAAAATAAAATGGTTAAGAATTAATAATAATAATAATAATACATAAAATAATAACAAAAAGAGAATTTATTCAACAAATACCTGGGTTCTAATAAGAACCCGTGACTGGACCTCTATCCATAATGGTGGAGGTTCTTGTAAAAACCCCAATAAAAACCTTTATTGTGGATACTTTAAATGAAAAACTTTTTCCTCTCCACCATGATAATTTTAGAAATCGATAGAAATAAGATGGTCGTTTAGATATATAACTCATAAGACGAAGGATCGTGTGAGAATGAAAGTTATGGTGAGAAGCGTAAAAAAAGATGTGAATCTTAAACACTTCTAATCTCATACCCACCAATGAATTACGTCATAGAAAGGAAATGATCTCGTGTATCTCGGTACACCTCATTAGTTTTGACATTCAATTATTGATTCAAGGGTAGAGATATCTTCTTATGCTTATTACCATAACTTCCATTCTCACCGAAACCCAACTCTAAAGCATATATTTAAAAATCTGTAATGAGAGAGATGATGAATAACTTTGTAAACCGCTCTGAATCACCATTAAAACAAAACTTAAGCGGACGCAACTTTAAGACCCCTATATTTTTATTTTTTTTGCACTGAAAGGTTATGTCATGATTAAACACTAACATAAGCATGAACTAAGCTAACCTGAATGGTAATTGCACTTCAATCTCTGTACCTTGCTTGCCTGTTCGAAATGTCATCTCTTCACAGCTCCACACTCTGCAACACAGCCATCATCTTGGTCCTCAATCTACATAGAATAAATTAAACCATCTTCCTCATGGAGGAGCAGCAGCGATTCCGTATAAGAATTCACAAACACAGAATTGTCGGTTACGTGAATCTCAAGATCCTTGATTTGCTCTGTGCAAGGTTCGAAAAGCTGTCGGAAATTTATAACATTTTTCAACGGTTTATCAATGGCAGGGTAATTTTATATACTTCAAAAAGAAACGGTCAATTAATATGACTCAAGCATTAAAACGTCCTATTATATATCTTGACAATTTTTTTGAATAAAATCATAAAAACTATGGTTGTTACCTTATGGTTTCATCTACTTATAATCATCTCTCATTGTAAGTAACTTGTCACTCCCACCCACATTTACTTAATATTAAGGTCTGTTATCAAATGCTAACCAGGTGAATTCTTATCGGGTCATTTTTCTTAATAGTATTGCAAGGACCGAGAATCTTACTCGGTAAGAGACATGACAAAGACCAACAATCTAACCCGATAAGTAAGAGAGGTGACTTTTACTCAGCTGGATCTACTATGCCATTTTGATTTTCAAGAATCTTACTTGGTAAGGTAAGTGAGAGTACGTATAAACATTTGGTAAACGACCCCTTGGTGATCTCTAGGGGTGGCACTTTTGTACCAAACCATATCTGCCAACATGTGTACCAACTAAATTGGTAATACAAAAGTATGCAAACTTGGCTGTTACATGGTATAGGAAGTTACATACCACGATATTCCCACGAATACCAACTTATTTAATTACTTATTAGTTTTTGTATTTTTTTTTACTTACTATAAGTTTAACGACTTTGTTTGAACTTTGAATGTTTGCACGTTTATTCTACCCAGTTAAAAACCCTTCAAGTTGGTACAAAACAAGTACCAACATATATCAACCGAAGAAGTTGGTACCATTTAAGTTGATACCAAATGTAATTGGTTGGCATACAATATAAGATTTTTACATACCATTTATAATTGTTTGGTACATAAGGGATGTTTGGGATTGCTTATAAAAACAACTTATTGACTTATTCCGGTGTGATACCGGTAATTAAGCACTTTTGAGTGTTTGGATAAACAATTTATACCGGTGCCAAACCGGTAACAAGAAGTTTTTAAAGAAGTTAAACCCTTCTGACTTATAATAAGTTGATAAATGCTTTGGTAGAAAAACATAAGTTGATAAGCAAATCCCAAACACCCCCATAGTATAACATTTTACATACCAATTATAATTGGTTGGTACACGAAATTGAAAAAAGAAGTTAGTACCGTACCCAATCCACCAATAATCAATCAATACTGTAGACCTTACCTTTAGCATTTATTGGGTTTGGTTTTATGCGTCACAAACTACATACGATAGGAAGATGACTAAACCTATTATAAAGTGGAGCGTTGATATCCCAAGGGACAAACCAAAAATTGCATCATAGTTATAAACTACTACATGACTAAAGGGTCGTTTATCAAACACTTATCCGGTAAGCATCCAGCGATAAAATTCAACATTATTATTTACTTACCGGGTAAGATTTTAGTCAACAAAAACGGCTTTCTATGCAACAATTTATCCGGTCGACCGTGGTAAGAGTCATTGCCCTTTCTTATCGGGTAAGACTCTCGGTCCTTGCCTCGCTCTTACAGGGTAAAATTCTTGGTCATTGCCATGTTCATCCGGTAAGGTAATGTAACTTGGTAAACGCTTACCCGAGTAAGCACTTACCGGTAAAAGTAGCCACTCTCACTTACCTTACTGGATAAGATTCCCAGCCAGCAAAATAGTGTAGCAGACAATAATCTCTTACCTCGGTAAGCGCCGGTAAAAGTCACCATTCTCACTTACAGAGGAAGATTCTCGGTCATTATCATGGAAACGCATTAACACTTTTGAGTGACTTAAAGAAGAGATTGGATGAAGCTAAAAGGCAGATTAGGATAACCAGTGCTGAATCAGCAACATAAGACATGTTGTTCTAGGTATCATACCGTACGTAATGGTCAAAGTTAATCTCCGAATTTTTAGTCAGCTAAAGAGAATACAAGAAAATAAGGCCAAATTTGCAGAACTTCTGTGATTTGGCATATTTTCAGATGGATCCAATATTATCCACTGAATATGTTTTAATATTAAGGCATGAACATCAAATTAGATGTAAAAAGACATTACTTTGAGACATTCAAGGATGCATATAAAGATTCCAAACCATGAATACCCAACAAGATTTATGCATGTATTAATATACCAAAAAGATATGTGCATCAATCTATATGCATGGTAAGAAAACTTTTTAAGAAAACTTAAAACTAATACGCATGGTAATTGCACATCAATCTCTACCTTGCTTACCTGTTCCAAAAGTCATCTTCACAGCTCCACACTTTGCAACGAGGCCACCATCTTCGTCCTCAAATCAATTAATAAATAGTATGATCTTCCTCGTTGAGCAGAAGCAGCGATTCCGTGTAAGAATTCACAAAGGATGAAAATCCGTTTACAAAAATCCCAAGATCCTTGAAGAGCTCTGAGAAAGGTTCATAAACAACAAGCTTTTGATGACAATAGTAAAGTGTCATCTCAAATATAGGGTCTCCACTCTTCCTAAACCCCAGAATTCTCTGTATATATGCAGGATATGGTGGGTTAATGGTGTATAACTTTGTAAACGTGTTTGTATCACCATGCTCCATCATCCATACAATACAAACTTGCATCCCGTTCATATCTTCACCAGACTCGAGCAAAGCAAGAGACTCCCTTAGCCTAAAGATGGAGAACCATATAAAGCGCAGCTGAGACGAACTATCTGGGAGGTTTACCTCTCGAAACTCCTCAGTACTCAAATCAAATGACATAATCAGTTTATGATCCCTAATTCCACCATCTTCAGCAATCCCATCATAAGCAAACCAATAAATAAAATGACCTATAGCTACCTGAGACCAAGTAAATGCAATTGATTTACGAGGCAGATTGTTACATAAACTCCTCCATTCTTTTGAGCCCAATGAGAAAACCATAACTTGCCGAGGGATGTAACTTATACTTTCCATTCTCCACCATGCACTAATATATGTAATTGCGACAAGCGTAGGGTCACAAGTGTCGGGGCAAACCCCAAAACCAAGGACCCTTGAAAACGACAAACTTAACACACTAAAAGGTACAGCAACAGCAATCGATTTTATAATGGAAGGATTCCAAAGAACAGCCACTTCCTTTTCTTGCTCTCGATAATAATAACCGTGGAGGCACAGCAAGCCGTGCGAGCTACCGACTATTCTTGATCCAGTGGCCTTAACCTTAAGTATTTGAACGAGCACAGGAACAATCGGATCAAACCTTTGTTGGGGGAAAGTATTATCATCGACAAAAGAAACGTATWTTCCCTCATTTTCCTCCCGTTCTCGCACTTGATACATCATAAGGAAATGCTGCGGCTGAGTTTGGCGAACGCTGTGAGCAGCAATAAACGCAGAGGAATCAATCAGTGACTTCCATGCTTTGCACGCCGATCGGCATCGAATCAATGATTCGACAGGAAGTCTTGTGATGATTTCCTCTTGGAGATCGGAAGGTATGCTCCGTGACATTTTGATTTTGGGGATATGATTCTGAATTTCTTTTTAGGGTTTATGCGGGAGAGGGAAGATTTGTGATTCTTTTCCCCACAGAAACCGTCTCGAATTTATAAGATTCAAATATGAGAGGAAATTACATTTTAGTCCCTGTAGTTTTGGGATATTAACCGAACTCGTCCATCTTTGCAAGGGTAAACAATTAGAAGATATTATTTTATATTGAATCTTCAATTTCAAGATTCAAAACATATTAAGATGGAAGGGATTCCCTTCCCATTCTTGTAAATCGAGAATTAGAATACCAATTACAATTGTATATCTAACCTGTTATGTAAGTTGATTAATTTCAAGATAACTATTTGTTTTGTAGATAGCTTGGAGTACTGCATTTGAACATCCGTGACCACAACGGATTTTTATTCCTGCTTAGATTTGAACCTGAGACCTTTGGAGCCAAGATCAAACCAATCAGGCACCACCCTTGTAAAACTTAATTTTGTTTATATATTAAATAGAAGGGTACTCGCGCAACGCAACGAGATACATCTTGATTTTAATATTTCATTTTATTTTTTATCTCAGTCGATGTCATAATATGGTTTTATGTGATTTAAATAAAACGACGATGTTTTTATTTTTCAATAAAATATAAATTTGAAGATATTTTAGATTTTAGATATTTTAGATTTTAAAATAAGATGCTTTTCCTTTATTTAATTATGTTTATCCGCAGTTAGTTATACAAATTCAAACATAGAGCTTTAATAATTGTACTTATGCATAATTTTTTTTCTTATAAAGATGATAATTAATTATTTTGTTAGAACTTGATAATTATCGTAATTATATTTTAGATTTTTTAAATTTTAAAATGAGATGTTTAT